CACATTTATATATATATATATGTGTGTGTATACATATATACATATATATATATATATATATCCGTTCCTTATCACTTAGTAGTTGTACTCACTCACCCCATCACAAACACGCAGGCGTGGTCAAGTACTGGCAAGCCAACATGAACAATGTCAAAGAGTTCACTGCGCACCGAGACGCTATCCGTGGAATGGCCTTCTCACCCAACGACAGCAAATTTGTCACTGGCGGCGATGACTCATTGTTGAAGATTTGGGATTTTGCCACGGGCACTGAGGAACAGACACTCACAGGCAAGTGATGTGTTGGGATTGATGTACAAGTGTAGTGGGGGGTGTGGTTTAGTATGTCTGTGGGCAAGTATGGTAGTGCGTGTGTGTAGTGGTATGTCTATGTACATATATAATAGTTGGTGTGTAAAGTGTAGTATGTCTATGTACAAGCATATTAGTTAGTGTGCATAGTTGGGTATGTCTATATACATGTATATTAGTTAGTGTGCATAGTGTAGTAGGTCTATAGACATATTTACAGGCGTGGTTGTGTCTTGGCTCTCAATGTAGTATGATATTCGCAGTAACTACTGTCTATAAAAGTGTTCTTCCACGTCACAGAGCAACAGACCTTAACTGGTAAACTTTTTTTGGGATACATATCCGTACCATACTACATATAACCCTATACATATACACGTGTATATACAGATGCTTATACACATGTATTTACAGATGCTTATACACGTGTATGTACAGATGTTTATACATAAGTACATACAGATGTTTATACATATGTATATACAGATGCTTATACATATGTATAACAGATGTTTATACACATGTATATACAGATGCTTATACACATGTATATACAGTTGCTTATACATATATATATACAGATGCTTATACACATGTATATACAGATGCTCCGTTGTGAGCATACAGTTGATTATACAATTATAAAGCAAAAAACTTAACCCTCTCTCTGTGCGATCACCCGCAGCTCTGCGTGTGTGCAGGCTTTGATCTACCATTGGTTAGTCCATCTCACCACTTGTCTATATCACACACCCTGTCATGGTCCGGTGCCTCACGCTCGCGCATAGTCTTAACCCAGACACACGCATCTCAATACACCTCTATTCTGATTCTCACTCGATGGGTGGAGTGAGCTTCATATTGTGTGTTGGTGTCCTTACCTACCATCTCTCTCGTACCTACCATCTGTCTCATAGGCCACGGATGGGATGTCAAGTGCCTGGACTGGCATCCGCAGAAGGGGCTGGTGGTGTCTGGCTCAAAGGATAACAATGTGAAGTTCTGGGACCCTCGCACAGGCACAAACGTACACACCGTCCATCCCCACAAGGACACCATACTAGACACGAAGTTTAATCGCAATGGTAACTGGCTGCTCACATGCTCTCGCGATCAACTGGCCAAGGTATGGAGGGATTGGGTATATCGATTTGTGTGTGTATAGGTGAGGGTTGTGGCAGCCCCATCAATGGTGCATGCATAAATATATATTTATATAAATATATATATATATATATATATACACACATATATATATATATATATATATATATAGTACATCGT